ATACCAATAAATTCCTGAACAAATCTCCGAAAAAAAAAGTTTCTCAAAAATAACTCAAAATACACTCATTTTCCTTAAAATACTAAGCTATGTCCATTTTTGTGGTTAAAATTCAGACAAAATGGCATGGTGATCAGTGTGCATCCCCCTCACTCTATGACTCATAACACTTAAAAGTATAAAGCTGTAGATATAAATAAATACATTAATGTTATTTATTTTTGTGTTCAGTACTAAATTACAAACATTTATTGCATTTTTGTGTACTACCTTTCTAGAACTGTTTATATCATACATTGTGACCCTGATTCCCTACTCTGCCCCTTGTCCTGCAGAGTGGTAAATTTGGTAGCCCCCCAGCAGATGCACAGGACGGCCAGCCTCAGGGTATCCAGTATTCTGAAGATGCAGCTGAACATGAGAACATGAAGGCTGTGTTAAAGAGCAACCTGCAAGGAGGAGAGGGCTGCACATCCACGGTGCTGGGCCTGCGTACACGGACAAGAGCTACCAGTGCTAGAGGTTAGTGTCAGAAACCTAGTGCAGCTGCCAAACATTCTTTATTAGCTTCATTAGACATGTACTTTACTTTACTTTATACTATAATAAAAATAAAATGTATTTACTTATCTGATAAAACAATGCCTGGGTTAATAGACAAACACCAAGACCACAAAATGTCCTCCCACATAGCTATATATGTAACTGTACTATTGTGTGCATGACTTTTGTGGGAAAATGTAGCTCCAGAACCTTAGCCACTCAATTACTGGCAACTTCTGTTATTTTCTGATCTTTTCCCTCATGATTTTTTAGGGCGTGTTTCTCCGTGGTGCTCAGCTATTGATGACCCAGTGAACTGTACGGAAGACACGGCTGATGAGATTATGGAAAGGATCGTTAGGTCAGCTACACAGGGGCCCAGCCAACGGACACAGCCTCGAGAAAGGAGACGATCCCGGGTTAACCGAAAGTCATGTGAGTTGTTCACTGCTAAAGATAAATTTTTCTGAAAAGTTTCTCTAAATGCTCTCATTTGATGAGAAACATGCAGACAAGATAATCTTTTGAAAAAAAATTACCAAAAAACTTTTTGATAATTTTTCAACGTCTGACCAAAAAAAACATAACTAACTAGCTAAATTTGCTAAAGGCTATAGTAAGGCATGTTTTGG